ACTGATGATAAGGAAGGACCCATCTGGCGATGGGTACCTAAGCGAAACTAATCTGTTTTGCAGGTCAGTCATGTGTGGCATCTTGATTCGGGTTGCTCGTCACACATGACTGGACAGATTGAAATACTGAGCAACTATTCTGAAAGGTTTGGAGGAAACGTGAGGTTTGGGAACAATGCTTCATCGCCCATACTCGGGATAGGAGATGTCATTTGTGAGAGCGTCACTATCAGAAACGTGTCATATGTGCAGGGACTGAAGCACAACTTGCTTAGCATCGGCCAATTTTGTGACAATGGAATGGAAGTGAGATTCCATGCTAGGCAATGTTGTGTGATGGATATGGGTGGTACACCATTATTAAGGTGTCAGAGGAAAACCAATCTCTACACCATTGATCTCAAATCGGTACGATCCCCCATATCCATCTGTCTCCTGTCCAAAGCATCTGAAGAACAAAGCAATCTATGGCACAGACGTCTCTCACACTTGAATCTGCCAGCTATCAGTTCCCTCTCCTCGAAGAAGTTGGTGAAAGGACTGCCTGTTCTGAAGAACTCCCCCAACCATCATTGTTCTGCATGTCATTTGGGAAAGATGAGGAGAGCGTCACACAAGTCAAAACAATTTCCCTCCTCATCTCGTCCCCTGGAGCTACTACATATGGATCTGTGTGGTCCGATGCGCGTGCATAGCATCAGTGGACGCAAATATACTTTGGTAATTGTGGATGACTACTCACGCTACACATGGACCAAGTTTTTGCGCTCCAAGGACGAAACTGCAAACTTAATCATGACGTTCATCAGGACCATACAGAACTATCTACAGCAGAATGTGAAGATCATCAGAACTGACAACGGGACGGAGTTCAAGAACAAGGAACTGACCGAATTCTATGAAGCTCAGGGAATCACTCAACAGTTCTCTGCAGCTAAGACACCACAGCAGAACGGTGTTGTAGAACGACGGAACAGAACCTTGGTGGAAGCAGCCAGAACCATGCTGATACAGTCAAAGCTTCCTCACTTCATGTGGGCGGAAGCTATCAACACGGCTTGCTTCACACAGAACAGGACAGTGATCCACAAAAGATTTGACAAGACGCCCTATGAGATTGTGTTCAAGCGGATCCCTAACATTGCCTTCTTCCGCGTCTTCGGCTGTAAATGCTACATTATGAACGACAGGGATGCTAGGGGGAAGCTTGATCCAAAAGCAAATGAAGGAATATTCATTGGGTATTCTACCAACTCCAAGGCGTACAGAGTATACTTGAAAGACAGAAGAACCGTCATGGAGAGCATCAATGTGAGCTTCTATGAAATGGCGGACTTGGCTTCTGAACATTTTCAGTCTGAACCATCAACCTCTGCAAACAATGAAACTCCATCATCTTCTGGAGTAGGAGGGCAGGGAGGTGAGACAAGATCGGATGAGCATGTGGTTCTGGATTCTCTCTTTGAGCATTTCTACAGTCAACCACGTGCACCACCAACTACAAATGCTACACCTACTCAGAACCCCCTGTTACCGGCTCCAACTACTGAAGAAACCAACACTCCTACTCAGAATGATGATGAACATACAGACAATGAAGCTGAACATGAACCAACCTCTCCTGTTAATGATCAACCCGAAGAACCTGCAACGCAAGAAACCCCAGAAGCACAACCAGAGCAAGAATATTCTGACCCTGATCATCCAATCATAACTCCACAGCCTCTACAGCACGAGAGAAAGTGGACTAGAGCACATCCGCCAGAGCTGATAATTGGAGATCCATCTCGAGGAGTCAGAACCAGAACGGCATCAGTCAATGAATGCTTATACTCATGTTTTCTGAGTCAGAAAGAACCAACAAAGATGACTGACGCATTGGCTGATCCGGACTGGGTGATTGCAATGCAGGAAGAAATGAACCAGTTTGAAAGATTGAAAGTATGGACCCTGGTGCCAAGGCCGTACAAGAAAACCATTATCGGCACCAAGTGGGTCTTCAAAAATAAGAAAGACGAAGACGGTGTGATCGTGAGAAACAAGGCCCGCCTGGTTGCAAAAGGATACAATCAACAAGAAGGAATCGACTATGATGAAACCTTTGCACCAGTGGCAAGGATTGAGGCTATCAGATTATTTCTAGCATATGCTGCACACAAGAGTTTCACAGTGTATCAAATGGATGTAAAGACAGCATTTCTGAATGGAGATTTGAAAGAAGAAGTCTACGTTGCACAACCTGACGGCTTTGTTGATCCTGAACGCCCCAATCATGTATATAAGCTGAGGAAAGCCCTGTATGGTTTGAAACAGGCACCGAGAGCCTGGTACGAAGCACTGTCAGATTTTCTTGTGGAATCAGGCTTCTCGAAGGGAAAGATAGATCCAACTCTCTTCATCAAAAGACACAAGGGTGACATCATGCTGATACAAATTTATGTGGACGATATCATCTTTGCTTCGTCAAATCCAAATTTCTGCAAAAAGTTCAGCAACCTGATGCGCACCAAGTTCGAAATGAGTATGATGGGAGAGTTGAACTTCTTTCTGGGACTTCAGATCAAGCAAATGCCAGACGGAATCTTCATAAATCAGTCCAAGTACATCCACGATATGCTCAAACGCTTCAAAATGGACAGCAAGTCAACGATGAAAACCCCCATGTCTCCCTCACAAAAGTTCGACTCTGACCCTTCCGGGAAACCAGTCGATGCTACCAATTATCGGGCTATCATCGGTTCCTTGCTGTACCTTACATCTAGCAGACCAGACATTGTCTTTGCAACTTGCCTATGCGCCCGCTTTCAGGCAAATCCAAAGGAATCACATCTGAATGCTGTTAGAAGAATACTGAGATATCTCAAAGGAACAGTCAATCTGGGCCTTTGGTATCCCAAGGAATCAGGTTTTGACCTTGTTGGATACTCAGATGCTGATTTCGCGAGTTGCAAACTGGACAGAAAGAGTACATCTGGCGGCGCTCAATTTCTTGGCGATAAGTTGGTGTGTTGGTCCTCTAAAAAGCAGAATTGTGTGTCCACTTCTACAGCTGAGGCAGAATATGTCGCGGCTGCTAGTTGTTGCTCACAGATATTATGGATGAGGACCCAACTGAAAGACTACGGGTTCACATTCTCACACATCCCGATCTACAGCGACTCTCAAAGTGCAATAGCCATCACGTGCAATCCGGTCCATCATTCAAGGACAAAGCATATTGATCTCAGATATCATTTCATCAAGGATCACGTTGAGAAAGGCACCGTGGACATGTACTTTGTGTCTACGGAATTGCAACTGGCTGATATTTTCACAAAGGCCCTGGATGGAAAGAGATTCAATTTCCTGATCTCTAAGCTAGGAATGTTGAACTTGAACGACTGAGTAACATCTGAACTGTGTGTGTGCGTGTGCTTTCATAATTTTCATTCTAAAACATTTTTTTCAAAATTTGCATTTTATTCTTTTTTTATGCATGCATCTCATATTTTTATTATTCTGTTTGCATCATTTTTTATTTGCATAAATTGAGGGGAGTACCAATCTGACCCTTACCTCATTATTTATACCATTTTATACCAATTGATACCAATTCTATTTGGATTTATACCAATTGTCTGCCTATATCAATTACTAGCTTTCAAGCCCGTGCGATGCACGAGCAGTATGTAATTTAGCTAATTTGAAATTTGATTTCTTTCGGATCATATGTAATGTGATTTAAAATAAAAATAAACTTAGTCTAATATAGAGCCTGTTTAATAATACTAAAATAAATTGAATTAACTTATTTTATTGAAATTGATTAAATTGTGACTGAATGGGCTGAATAGGTGGAATCTCCCCAATCATGAAAAAAATATGTAAAATATATTCCATTTGTGAAACCAGGAAAAGATTATATGAAAAATAGTTAAATTGATCTTCTACATAAGCATCTCGAGTAAATATAATTGTTATGAACCCGATTTTAAACATTTAATATAATCTTATGAAGATGGATATTCATAGAAATTTAATATATAGTATGAAGTAAAATAGTCTAAATATAGAGCCTGTTTTAAACGTATACTATAACATTTAATTTAATTGTTATAATGGAATTAAAACGTATAATTCTAACACATATAATTCTAAGCCTAAACGTATACTACAACATTTAATTGTTATAGAAATTAAAACGTATTTTTGGCTAAGAATACCTATCATATATAAACTTAGTCTAATATAGAGCCTGTTTAATATAATACTTTCTACGGATTTTTTCCCCCATATCAATATGCAATCAAAAATAGAATCTAGCTAATAAAAATAGAAGGTATACAAATAACTAAATAATTAATATATATATATATATATATATATATATAGATTTTGGTTCAAGTAAGAAATGCATCTAATGTGAGAAATGAGAATGAATCTCAGCCATTAGATTCGCGAAGTTGCACTAAAATGATTTGATGTGACAGTGATATTTAAATTTTGCACTTGTTGCACTGGAACTGTTTCATGTTGCACTAATATTTGACGGCGTTGCACCGAAATAGCTTCATGTTGCACTAGACATGTCTAATATGGATTTTTCAGAAGTATTTACAGAAATGCCACCGTGCTAGATTGCATATTTGAGTGCATCATCAAATGTCTTTTACTGCAACTTAGTCAAATCCAATGGCTGAGATTCATTTTCATTTCTCACCTAAAGAGTTCTTCTCACTTAAACCTTACCCTATATATATATAATGACATGACAGGATTATGTGGCACTTTGTATGCTCTTAAAAAGTTGCTCTTATATATATATTGATTGATTTATACCATTTTAAACTATGAGGGCATAGTTTTCAATGATGACATCGTTTTGATTGTAGTTGGGTACATCTCCCTTAATTCTTTTGTTTGGCTATTTTTATTTGTTGTTCATTATTTTATTTTATTTCTTATCTTAAAAAGAATAAGGATCGTGGAATACTAAAAAAAACAAGGACAAAAAAGGTATGAATCTAAATTCGTCCTGAATCGCACAAGATACACTCCGTACCTTTCATCTAAAAGGTGTCCAGAAGTCCAACACTCCAAATAAGCCATCCTCCACTTCGACACTCCAAATTTTCTTTAATTAATCTGATCAGGTCGGAAGAAAATCTGCCATTCTTCTTAAACCCCCCGGAAACGTTCTAGTGTTTCCAACGGGCAACGGAATTACACCCGGTAAACCTGTCGGTCCTTTCACTCATCGTCTTCAGGCTTCAGCATTACGACCTTACAGTTCAATCGCTCAGCGTCTTCGAGCTTCAGGCTGCAGTTCAATCGCTCCAGGAGCTCAGGTAATTAGCGATTAATCGATTATCTGGTACCCATTTCTTTTGATTTCTTTTGTATTTTGTACGGAGCATGGGTATCTGGTATATCTTTTGATGTTTTGGTATTATTATTGGATTGATTATCACTTACGGATTTGTCAATTTATTTGTTTAAACTTTAAATTGTTTTTCTTTGTAAGTAACTCTGTAACTGAGTATTAATTAAGTGATATAGGCAGTGATGAGACCCATTTCTTTATTACAGAGTACTAGGTATTTGTTATTAGTATGGTTCAACAAGGCCTATCTTTTATAAAATTAAGTCATGTAGTCCTATATTTTATTTAATGTTATTTTTTGTTTCTTTACGTTTTTTCATTAGTCAGTTGTCCAAACTGCTATTATTTGATTCATTAATCTTTTTTTAGTATTTCAAGAATTCAAATAATGTATAACATGATAACAATCTTAAATATTAGTTTGAATTTGTAAATACATTTTTCATGGTTAATACATCTCTTTCAGTTACTTTGAATGGAGGATAGTGCTAGTAATATAAGTAGTCCTTTGTGGCCGTCTGCAAAATTGGTGATCTGAGTGGCAATGTTTTATGGATATGCACCTTTTGTGGCCATTTTGTTATCAGTATTGTGTCCTTTGTGGCTATATTTTTTAAAAATGCTGTTCCCTGTTTCCGTGCAGTATTTATCTATTATATATTCTGACTCTGTATAGAAAAAACTCACCTCCACCCTTACCCAGAAGCCTTCCATTACCAGGTGAGCTCCCACAACCCGCTTTATCTTTCCAACGGATCAGTACACTGTCGCAAAAGACCCAGTATGGAGTATACTAAATGTAGCCGAAATAAATTATCAAGACATCCCACTCTCTGTTTACCGCCTGCAACACTCCGACGGGACTGAATTTACCTGCAAGGAAAATGACCTTTATATGTTAAAGATGGATGACATCTATCATATGTATCTAGCCTTCCAGGAAATTCCAGTCACCTGGGACAAATCTACACAAGAGGGATTCAAGGCACTCAAGCGCTTCATGGTCAGACAAGCCAAATTCTTTGCTTCCCATGATCTTCAGATGGCCCTAGAAACCAATCTGCCAAAGACAAACCTCTCAAGACCAAAGCTTTACGGGCCAGAACTTGAGAACTATCCAGCCTATTACATCTTCGATTGCCCGTTAGCTATCATCTATCTGAACCACAAAGGTGAGAGGCGCTTGTTGGTGGCAGAAGAAATCAACAAGTATTGTGATGGAACGCTGAAGATCATTAAGGAAAAACTGCAACCTATCAGAAAAGAGTTTGAAGAAAAACAACAGAAGTATGCAGATGCCACAGACGATGAACTAACAGAAGCAACCAGAATTGATAAAATCTTGAAAGCCATCGAGAAACAACTTGACAGAAGAAGGTCTCTCAGAAATTACGAGCATGCACTAAATCTCAGAAAGCATTATTTTAAAGCTCAGAAGTGAAGAAAAGAAGAAGCAAGAACATCTGATCACAAAGGGGGAGATTGTTAGAGATATTTTCATTATATTGTGATCAATGTTTCTTAGCTATTTATATTTAGCATCTTAATTAAATAGACTAGCTAGAATAATGAATAGGCCTTTTAAGGCAATTTGTAATAAAAGGTTTTATACCTTTTTAGGTATGGGCCTCCTAGAAAAAGGAGCCCAAATGATTGTAAAACCTACCTTTCCCGTCAGGCTATATATATGCCTTAAGGGAAAGGCTAGGTTAAGCTTTTCAACATTCCCTGTGCCGCAGTGCCTATATCGGTGATAGAAGTTTTACGCTAAATTGTTCATCATTCTGTAAACTTCTTCATCATTCAATGGAAAGCTTCATTCCCAGATCTATCTTCCATACATACATTTTATAGATTAGAAAACAGGGACCTAACATACAGGGACATAAGTGGATACATGATCTATATTATCACGTTTATACAATTATGTACATTGGGTCTTATTACTAATTGATTATGTATATGTCAATGATACATAAATCAACATACATAAAATATTTGTATAATCAAAGTATATTTAAAGATAGGCCCATTTCCTATACAATGATGCACATTGGAAATGTAGATTATGATAAATAGATTTTGGTTAGGACATATAGAAATAATTTCGAGTTACAATAGTATTATATCATTGTTAAATATACGGGTATATTCAAAATAGGCCAATCGAGACATATAATATTATGTTAGAATTGGGAATGTATTATAATAATCTTGTTTTTGGTAAAGTAATATACATGTATGTTAATTCAATGTTATGTTTAAAATATAGTATACATATATATTTATAAATAGACAATATCTATTTTTAGATACGTAGGACATATTTAAATTATCTATTTAAATTTAGTTAATATATAACACTGAATTTATCATTTAATGTATAAATTACTCTTGTATATATTAAGTTTTGATACATATGATATTTACATCATGTGTATAAAACCTGATGATTGAATACATATCTAAGATGATATCATAAAAGTGCAATTTATTAAATTACAAGTTCACTTGACATGTATCCCATATACATTAATCATGTGTTATTGGGTAACATAATCATGTGTCCTATAAATGATATAGTAACACAAGGCACATATATCAATGTATATGGGATACATGTCAAGTGAACTTGTAATTTATGTTACCCAATAACACATGATAGAGAATTGTGATAAAATGTGCATACAAAATTATAATTTACGTAATTTTGTATTACGGGTATGTCACGAAAAGACATACTAATATAGAAATGTGTTGACATAATATTGTATATATGTGATATGTCTGTAGACGACTATCATTTGTGAATAAAATTTACGTATGTGAATTGTATAATATGATAAATACACTAATACATTTGACAGTTATCCTCTATAATAATGTTATAGAGGATTTGGATTCATATATCATAAATACATTATTTATACGCTTGGAACCCAATGCAACTCGAAAATCCACTTGATTACACTGTATAATGAGCATATTATGTACATCAATTATTTCGAGTATAATTGTGTGGCCTAATTGTCCATAATATCAATATGTAAATGATCATGTAAAATAGGAACTCTAATATACACATGTATATATAATAATGGTGTATCTTTTAGTTTACTCTATGTCCGGTTTACATAATTCCTATGTAGTTCATAATTTAAAATAGATTAAAATATTGGTATAAATATTTCTAAAATTTAACATTACACTTTCATAATGTAAACCGTTTTTGGGACTGCAAATTATGTATATCACTAATTTCGAGTTGCAAATCACTGATTCTGTTTGACTTATAATTTCATATTCAAATAATATGCATTTACAATCACTTATATGTGTATTACACTGAGTAACCTATTCGTATACACAATTGAGGATTGTGTATAAATAAAATGGCTCAACTTGGGTATTAGTATGAATCACAGGCCAATTTATGCCGTAATTCTAATGATAGGATATAAAATCATTTGGATATGCATGTATGAAAAGTGGGTTGTCGATGTCTACATAATTATAATAACATGTATTGGGCACTGTATCTTTATTAATATATATTATTCGGGTGTCTTTAAACGTATATATCCCAAATTAACCATGGGATACACAATTATTTATACAATTATTACATGTATAATAAAATATAGTATGTCTACATGTTATATAATCACTATGTAATTAAATAATGATTGGGTTCCTTAATCATTGTCATTATACTATAGATTAAATGTTCAATTGTTATATAGTTCATTGTCTTAACTTTAATGCCAATTGTATCGACAACCTGCATGTATAAAGTTTATAAATATTTAATAAATAGTATATTGTTAAGAACACATATAATTTATGTGTGACATGTATTGAAGACATGTATTCATTTAGTAAACCCGAAAATTATGTATGAAAAATAAATGATTGACAATACACATTTCTATGAATATGCCTATAATCACAATCTACACATTTATCAATTTGAATTGACAAATCCACTTTTGATGTATACATTCCACTACTCCCCGAAAATCACTTGTGACAATCTATTGGAATACACAAATTGGGTATTCCTAACTTTGTATACATTAAACACATGTATACAAATCTTTAGTGTATTTAGATATAAATACGAAATACATGGAATATTTTAGTAAACATTTCCTATCAGTGATGTATTTATACATTGGACAATATTTCAGGACTCAACACATTCCATATTGTTGGGACACAACGTATAAAGGCACAGGACATATGTATCAGAATTTGGACTTGGTATCTATTTAAAAGATACACATGTATCTTTCTTTCTATACATAGACAGATTGGAACCCTATATAAATTTGTTTTCACATATTTATGTGCATTGTGGTGATAAAGGTACGTGGGCCCAGTTCTTCAGTCCAATCTCCGTGACTCCAATGGCTTCATTAGTGCCATTTATGCAATTTATAGTTGCATAAATGGCACTAATCCACATCAGATATGTCTATGGCATTGTAAACCCGATAACACTATTATGTATTTGATTGTGTATATATCAAATGTATAGGTTATATTACTTCCTATATCATTTTCGTAGATATGTTAACCTGTGTATCAGTGTGTCTAGATACACAGTGACTTTCTATTTTAAACAATGTCATATAGTATCATATATATTGGGTTCCTATATATAAGATCAGGATATCATGTCTTTGTGTATAGACCAAATTACATAACATGTACATAAGATAGTTGCATACTTAATTGTTAGAAATGTGTATTAAACACTAAAATTATATAATGTAGTGTATTATCTCCATTTTGCAATGGGTTCAGTGCATTTAGGACATAATGCATGTATATGATATCAACGATATAATGGTATTCTCGAAAATGTAGATACCCATTCTAGTATCTTCAGTCTTCAGTTGATGTCTTTGATTAAAAGTGCATTCTATACATAATTTGGATTATAGGAACCCAATGTGGATTCTCGAAAAGTGCATTCTATACATGTGTATATCTATACATACCGTATGTCGAAATGTAACATGTAATTCTACATGTTATATACTATAAATCTATGACTATATCAATGAAATCTCAGTAATATACACTTAAGAGAATATTATGATTGGAGTTCCACTGATGTATCAGGACACTATGAAGTGGGATATAAGTATCTATATATATAACTGGTATACTTCTATAGTCTCCACTAACCTACAATAAGTATTACTCCCTCAGTCCCAAATTGTAAGATACATTTACTATTCACTTGGTCAACATAAATCACTCTTAATCTTTTACTTTATATATCAAAAGTTTATGAAATTTGAATTATTTTTTTCAAGCTTTGTAGCGGTTTTAATGTAATTTCTGAATATGTAAATTTTATTTTCTAAAACTAATTTGAGTGTTGACAGGGATCAATTTACTTTATCGTCGGTCAAACATCGTAAACCGTAAAGTATCATACAAATTGGGACGGAGGGAGTACAATTCTTCGAGTAATAACAATATGTATTCATAATTTATCTATATGTACAACCGATAGATGGATCATTGTTCAAAATGTCCCAATGGCATAAGTTATAATTCAACTATATCATATACTTATTTAGATAATGTTGGCCATATTATCAATTGTCTAAAAATATAACACTGTTAGGAACCCATATATTGGACTAGTCCAAAGTGGGTTATGTTTACTTATTGGCCTAGTAGACATATACAACTAGTCAATGATAAACACATTTCTATTCATATATGTTAAATCATACATATATATTTATAAATATATATGTCTTCAGTGTGACATGTATATTTATATGATAGAAAATAAATACATTGGACTAGTCTATAGAACCATATACTTTATGATGTTTCAAGAAATCATATTGTTCTCAAATTGATTACATATCCATATCTTGAGATGTGGATATAAACCGTATATATCATGTATACATCATAAAGTATATGGTAGGAACCCAATCTCCGTGTCTCGGTAACCGAATGTATCTATACAACAATTCGTTGCCGAATGCACATTTCTCCTATACACATTTCGAAAAAGTGGATACATGTCTCCACAATGTCAATATCATAAATACACTTTATGTAAGGAGTATACATTATCACACTCGTGTTAATGTCCCATTGTAAATCCACTTAAGATATAGATGTCACCGAAAATATTTCCACATAAAGTGTATCAAATAAAGTATATAATTATAGTTGGACTCTATGCACATCATAGATTGGGTTTATGATGTGACTCAAGTCATATTATATACATCACTATTTATAATTGTACTTGATACTGATTGGAAGGCCCGACACATTATAGATAAACTTATATGTTGCACAATTAGTTATATAATACATTGTTTGCATAATCTATATACATAATGTGTATATATGTGTAACATTGTTTATATATGTCAATTAGGACTCACATATATCTCGATTCGTTGGATTTAGAAACTAAATCAACAGTATAGAAGGAGATTGTCGTATGCACAATCTCTAAAGTGTATACTTAGAGAAAGTGTAAGTATAGAATGAAAGAACATGTCTTCAGTGTTTTCGGGTTAAAAATACAACAATCTAGGCCATAAAAGGTATTATGATATAGTTTTTCTATTATAAGACTAAAAGTGGGCCCTGAAGACATTGAAGATTTTAGTCTATAAAAATATAGCAAAGTCATACACTTATATTGGGTATAATTGTAGAAACTATATCGGGTAAATCGGATACATTAAAACCGTAGTCTGAAGACATTGGACAACAAATAGTTTATATGATATTTAGTGGCAATGTATCAAAGGATTATTGTTTAATATTTTATGGATACAAATCCACTGTATAATTTTTCGACATAGTATTTAATATATCATAGCCCAATGATTAATGCATGATTGATTCCTATACATACTGGCCTATTACATAGATAATTTCGTATATTCTGTGATAAACTTAATGTAAGGTTTGACATTAATCATTGGGTTCACTGGATTTAGGGTGATTGTATTTGCATTCCAATCCACAACGAAAATCCACTTTTGTGTAAAAATGAATTCTTGAGATACTAAATGTGTAACAATAGCATGTATATCTATTATGATTTATAATGCACAAGTCACTCGGGTATTTGAAAGTCCACTTTTCCTAGGTCAACTTGATAGAGGAGTGTCTATTATGTCTGAAGAATGTATATACATCATTTAATGTAATCTAGACCAATGCAACCCAATGATTTGCATAATTATGCAACTCGTTGAGGAGTAATACACATTGTGTATTATAAATATTCATATACATATTTACACATCAATTTCTATGTATCAGAAATATGATATTAGGATTACATTGAAATACAATTGGATAAAATGCCTACTAGTCACAATCATGAGATAAACACTGTATGTCCAAATCAAAAATTAATACACTTTAATGCACTCGAAAATCAGGTCTAAAATATACATGTGTTTTAAATCTAGATTGTAATCCACTGAAGACATATATTATGGAAAATCCTTGTATACAATTATATACAATCTAGGTCATATCATCGAGTTGCGCACATTCGACCCATTTATAAATTTTATTATATCATGTATAATTAAATCAATAGTATGCAATGTGTATTTATGATATAGGAACCCAATGCAAGATGTGTTATTTTCTTCATAAACAACCGAGTTATTAAAATGACATATAGGGTTGAAATATACATTATAGATTTAATGTGTATACATTCAGTGTTAAACTCTTTTATATCACTCTTAATTATAACTTTCGTTGTATGACTGTCCACTTTTAATCATATTGATAATGTAAGACAACGAAAAGGATATCATATGTACACTGAAGACATGTACCTTATAAAGTATGCACACTGATAGTATACACATTAATAATTTTGCAAACCCACATTTTATAGATTATGTTCCGTAATATATCTTTATTACGAGTAAACTCCATGTATAGGCATTATAATTTTTCGTTGCAAAATGTGGGTATACATATAGTATTGGGTATTTATGAATGTTAAAAATATATATCATAGAAATGTCGAAATAAGATGTCTTCGGGTATGTATATCTGATTTATTTTGCGGGGTTTCATATGTTTTTAACATTTCAGATAAATTATGCTAGTTATGTACACTTTAATTACAATAATACTATGTGTACAACCGAGTAGTTCATATTTAATTAGGAGGTGATAACTAACCCGTATGTCGTATAGGACTTTATAGGATTTTAATAAATCTATGCACTGAAGACATCTAAAATCGAAAATCCATGTATAGCACAAATTTCCACTTTCTGTTGTCAAGGAGTTACTCTATACATAATTTGGACTTGAGTCCTGAAGGAGAAATGTGTATTTATGATATAGGAACCCAATGCAACTCGAAAATCCACTTTTAGTTGTCGTATGCAAAATCTAGGCCAATCTCCGTGTAACACCCCCATTTTTCCCACCAAAATAAAATAACATTATGAAATGAAAACATCTTTATTATAAAACATATTTAGAGTACAGCGGAAGTCTTTAATGGAAAAACAGGTGTGTCACCGCCACACTCAACCTATACATGATTGAGTGCACAGGCTATCCACCATAAATTCAAGTAGCCATTGGATAAAACTTAAAACAAGTTTATGGATTACAAATTTAAACAACAATAATTAATCAAACGTGTGCAACTAGCGGAACACTCGGGCAACAAGTACATCAATCTTCATAATCATAATCATCTGTACAATAGAGCAAAGAGAAAAAGAGAAAAGAGACAAAAATTAGCTTTAGAGCTAAGTAAGATTCCACCCGAACCCGTAAAATAATATAATTTGGAAAATAGGTTTTTATATATGTATATATATCGAAAAGTAGTCTCTCATATTTCCAAAATGGTTTAATGTCATAAAATAATTTCCACAATAGATAAGATCATCCTTCAATTCCTCCAAAAGTAATACTTTAGATTCTTTTAAGAGTGGGCGAAACTCAAGATTCCTCGAGCCCAATGAGTCGTTGTTATCTACGACTCATCCCGGAATTCCGGCTCCCACCGACCACCAATTGGAAGCTGAATTTCTACCTTAAGTGTGCACACCCTCTAAAAGGGATTCCAAGCCCTCCGAGTAGTAAGAAACCCAAGTAGGCAGGATGTTTTCTACCACCTACTCACAAGGGACATTGCCCAAGGGTAAATTAGGTAACTACTACTACGACCACCAAAGGATCTTTGATCCTCAAATAAAAGCCCGAGATGTCTACCGGAGTATGTCATTGCCGGACTGGTTACCGACCCAAATAAATTTCACCAAAAGTAGTAGTAGCCCTAACCACCCACGCCTCGTGTTTCTCTCGAGACGTAAGAATATATATTATGAAAACTTTAAGTTTTCCCCAAATCATTATTGTCACATTTTCTCAAAATATCCTTTGTAATAAATATAAATCCACCAATATTCTTTAATAAAAAGAATATACATTTAATCATCCATAAAAGGTAATAATCCACCAATATTCATATAGTCAAAATATTCGATCCATGTCAAACATATAATTTCCAATTCATAAATAATTCACATAGTGTAAATATTGCATACATATAAGTACGAGGCAAAACATTTTGGTTGTCATAGAACTTACCTTAAATTGCGATAATCTCCTTAATAAAATCTCTAGCTTGATCTATACTTGAATTCTCCTTCTAATATTGATCAAAATTCTAAATCAATAACTATTCTTTTATTTCGTTATTTCTTTTATATCCAACCTTTAATTACTTTAACTTCATAACTCCTTCTTTAAATATAAATATTAAATTAATAAATCTTACTAACTGTTTATTTCCAGTTCATTCTTATTATTTTCTTTAATTATAATAACCCAACTCGGTTTTTCTTAATTTGTTTGGTTAAATAGTTTACTAGTCCAATTATATTAACTACATAATAATTTCATTATTTTGAATTTAAATAATCAATTTCAGTTCAGAATTCAGTTTACATAATTTACATAATTTATTTAATAAACCTTTTAATAATAACTTGACTTAGGCATTAATTCGAAATAATAATCATTAATGATAATCTAATCTCAATAACAACTTTAATTAGTTCAATAGTTTATTTATACTAACTAACCCAATTAAATTAATTTATCCAATCCTCCAGTTTTATTTATTTGACTCACTAATTTAATTGAACTAACTAAATCAAATAAATAAGTTTAATTATATCAATATAGCTAAATACGTTAATCTAATTCAATTAAGTCCAATAATCAAATTCTAATCTCGTTTTAATTTTCTATTTTTAATATAAAGTCCAGAAATGTTATCAAGTCTATAAATTAACTAATTTATCCATTAAACTAATTGATTTAGTACAGTTAAACTAGTCCAATGAAGTCAATTAACTAACTTATTAAGTACACATTACTTAATTAATTTGTTTATATTCATCAACTAATTTTTATGAGTTCAAATAGTTTAATAATTTATATGGAGTCCAAATCACTAATAATCAAGGATAATAATTATTAATTTAATCACGCTAATTTAATTAGTCAACTAATTCAATAATTTATTTATTAAGTCCAAATATAGTCATTCATTTATACTAGATAACCCAACTTTATTTTCTTTTCCTTATTTTATTACAAACATCATTTTTAGTCCAGGACATTATTTTCAATCTTAGTGATTTATTTATTTCACCATTAATATCAAAATTTCATTATTTAATTACTTAACTAGTTTATATGGCTCAATTAAATTAAATAACTTAATCATCACTTTTATAAATTACTAATATCCATAACTATAGTTTGGGTCTATACTTGACCTAGGTTGTCCAGATATTTATTTTAGAATTATTTCCTTTATTTATTCACTTAATTTCATATATCTATTAACCGGTTTAATTACAATTAAATATGCTAATTATAATTTTTATTAATTATAAATGGTCCCAAATGTCCTAGTTAGTCATATATTTAATATAGCTTGCTCCCATATTTATTTCATAATTATTTTCGTCATTTAGTTAATTATTTACTAAATGTGTACAAGTTGGCCCAATTACAATTAAATCAATTACAAATAGCTACAAATATTATTTTTCAATTATTCTTGGTCCGAATATGTATTTGTATACCAGGTATTTAATTTATATTTTTACAGATTTTATTTATTTCATTTACTATTTTATTTTTAATTTTTTATTGAAAACGGGCCGAACCGGCCCAAATTCGCGACCCGGCCCAAGAAGACTGGGTTGTCTCCTTCCCAGCTCTTCTCCAGGTCGCGATTCCGGCGACCGGAATCCCGAAAACTCCGGCGAGCGATAACTTTACTTACAGGTAACGGATTTCGACGATTCAAGTTGCAAAATGATCCTGACGTCGAGGAGAAGCTCCACCACCCCTATCTACGGCAAAATCGTGTCTTTTCTGAAGACCCGTTTCCACGGCTTGCAACTCCGGCGACCTCTAGGATGCTCCGGTGACTACGAATCGGTCTGGAATTTATTGGGAAGTATTCCTAGACCTCTCACGACCCTCCTCTCTTGCTTATAGGCAATTTCTTACGTAAATATATATATGTGTATATTTCCGGCGAGTAAGTATATATATATTTGCTCTACTCGTTTTCTTCAGTTTTGCATTGATTTAGAATGTCAGTGGAGCTGTATTTATAGCTGTAGATCGACCCTTATGGAGCTGGACGAGTTGTGTGAATTATTGTGAATTATTTTGATAAGATACATACCTATTCATAATTCAATGTATACACATAATATTGTAGGTGTGAAGTCATGAAGCTGTTTCCTGGCATGTGAAGATGTCCTCCAGATCTTTGCTATTATTTTCTTATCAAAATATGTACTCCGTATTAATATGTGTGTGTTTATATGTGTGTGTTTTTGTTGTAGTATATGTACGTACTATATATATACATTACTTATACTATAGGTAGTTATATACGGAGTATATAGTATATTACTTATATATACTTATAGTTTATTCATTTGTATTACGTGTCACGTATGTATTATATTTCTTTTATTTCATTAATGTTTATAAAGTTACTTGTAATTATTTTATTTATTTCCATTTACTCTGACAGATATATTTTATCTGGTTTATTTCCATTTTTTTTCCGATGCTACATAAGTGTTTAATTCTATTGCATGTAGTGTGCGTATATTTTTATACACCAAGTATAATAAAAAAAATTGATCTTACTTTCAAATTTTTATTTCATATTGATTTATCAGATATAACTTATCTGATTTATCTATTTATTTTTATTTCAAATTTTCAAGGTATCACATTCTACCCTCCTTAAAGAATGCTTCGTCCTCGAAGAATAAACTAAGACGAGAATTAAGTATGAAGATGAAGTATTATAGGTTTATAAGATATTACAGCCTGCCCCCCTAAAAGAAAGGTTACGTCCTCGTAACCGAATGTTTACCTTAATTGAAAAGTTCAGGATACCGTTTACGCATATCCTCTTCTTTCTCCCATGTTGCATTCTCGGTCAAATGGTTTGACCAAAGTACTTTTACCATCTTAACTGTCTTCTTCCTTGTCTCTCGGGTCTTAGTATCGAGAATCTGATCTCTATGGGTTTTTCTTCGTAGGATAATGTCTCATCCATTTCAATCACCTAATAATATAACGGTTAACTTATATTCTTTTCAATTTACGTTTGGCTCATGTTAAGTCTAGGATTTCTTACCTCCGGATTGATGATATGTGACTCATCTCGAACATACTTCTTTAATTGTGATACGTGGAAGACGTTATGTACCTAGCATATATCGGTATGTTAAGAATGTATTCTAATCGTAGAGAAGTATTTGATTTCAAATCGGTTGTTACCTTATCCAACTCCGTGGGTAGAGCTAATCGATATGCCACTTTTCCCACCTTCTCTAGGATGTCATAGGGTCCGATGAATCTCGGACTTAGTTTCCCTTTCTTCCCGAACCTCATTACGCCTCTTGTAGGAGAAACTTTGAGTAGAACTTTCTCCCCTAGTTCGAATTCAGCTGGTTTTCTCCCAAGATCGGCATATGATTTCTGTCGGTCTTGGGCAGCCTTCATCCTTTCTTGGATGACCTTGATTTTCTCAATAGTATCTTGCAAGTATTGTGGTCCTAGAACCACCTGATCGACCATGTCACCCCAACATAAGGGACTCCTACACTTTTGACCATATAGAGCTTCGTATGGGGCCATTCCGATGCTAGCATGGTAACTGTTATTGTACGAAAACTCTACCAAGTCTAGGTGTTCATCCCATGATCCTTGCAAATCAAGAACACATGACCTCAACATGTCTTCTAATGTTTGGATTGTTCTTTCGGTCTGTCCGTCCGTGGTTGGATGTAAAACAGTACTTAACTTCAATTTTGTTCCCATAGCCGTTTGTAATTCTTTCCAAAATTGGGATAAGAATCGTGAATCTCGGTCTGATACGATGTCTTAAGGTACTCCGTGGTGTTTGACCACGTGTTTGACATAGGCTTTAGCCAGTTTCTCCATGCTCCAGGTTTCATTCATAGGAATGAACCTTGCAGTTTTGGTCAATCTATCCACTACCACCCAAATTTTATCTTTCCCGGACTTTGTTAAAGGTAAACCCCCAACAAAGTCCATCGAGATTGAATCCCATTTCCATGTTGGTACTTCCAAGGGTTGCACGAGTCCCTTGGGTTTGCATCTCTCCGCTTTGACTTTTTGGCAGTTCAAACATCGGGATACAAATTCAGCTACTTCTTTCTTCATTCCCGACCACCAAAAGTTCTTCTTGAGGTCTTTGTATAGTTTGTCTCCCCCGGGATGTACCGAGTAGGGCGTGTTGTGTCCCTCCTCCATGATTTGTTTTTTAATATCTGCACACTTCAGTGGAACACACCACCTTCCCTTGTATCGGATGCTCCCATCTTCATGTATCTTAAATGGTCCGTTGACGCCATCTTTCATTCCTTCCTTGATTCTTTCGAGCTTTACATCTCCCGGTTGTCCGTTCTTGATTTCGTCAAAGATAGATGGTATAACAGTCATAGTACATAACTGTATTTCACCATCTACTTCGCCATATTGCTTTACTTCCAAGCTCAATCTTTGGAAGTGTTGGAATAGTTCTTCTGGTAATATCCATGTTGCTCGGCATGAGTGCTCAGATTTCCGGCTCAAAGCATCCGCCACCACGTTAGCTTTTCCCTCGAGGTATTGGATTTCTAGATCGTAATCATTGATAAGCTCGAGCCATCTTCTTTGCCTCATGTTAAGCTCTTTTTGAGTGAATATGTACTTCAAGCTTTTGTGGTCAGTGTATATCTTACAATGTGCTCCGTATAGGTAATGTCTCCAGATTTTCAAAGCAAACACTACTGCAGCTAACTCCAGGTCATGGGTAGGATAATTGACTTCATGCACCTTTAGTTGTCTTGATGCATAAGCCACCACTTTCCTATTCTGCATCAGCACACACCCCAACCCCTTCTTGGATGCATCACTATAGATATCAAATCCCTCCGTCCCTGACGGTAGTGTCAAGACCGGTGCAGTTGTGAGTCTTTTCTTCAACTCTTGGAATGCTACTTCACAATCTTCATTCCATTGGAACTTGGTTGTCTTCTTTGCCAGGTTGGTTAGCGGTCTTGCTATCTTGGAGAAATCTTTAACAAATCTCCTATAGTATCCCGCTAGACCCAAGAAACTTCTTACCTCTATGACCGAGGTAGGTGCACGCCATTCAACCACCGCTTCAATCTTCGATGGATCTACGGATACGCCTTCCTGGGTGATGATGTGACCCAAGAACGCTACCCGATCCTGCCAGAAGTCACACTTTAAGAGTTTGGCATACAACTGGTTCTCTCTCAAAGTTTGTAACGTGAGTCTCAAGTGTTTCTCGTGATCCTCCGGGGTTTTTGAATACACAAGAATATCATCGATGAATACCACCACAAATGTATCAAGATAAGGTCGGAATACACGGTTCATTAAGTCCATGAATACCGCCGGTGCATTTGTTAAACCAAACGGCATCACAGTGAACTCGTAGTGTCCATACCTCGTGTGGAATGCTGTTTTTGGTACATCTTTTTCGGATATTCTCACTTGATGATATCCAGAGCGCAAGTCTATCTTAGAGAACGTGCTAGACCCCTTCAATTGATCAAACAAGTCGTCAATTCGGAGCAATGGATACTTGTTCTTGATAGTTGCTTGATTCAACTCTCGGTAATCGATGCATAGCCTTAGACTCCCATCTTTCTTTTTGACAAATAAGACCGGAGCGCCCCAAGGTGAGACACTCGGTCTTATGTACCCCTTCTCTAACAACTCCTCTAGTTGTTCCTTCAGCTCCTGCATTTCTTTCGGTGCCATCCGGTAAGGTGCTTTTGAAATTGGCGCGGTTCCGGGCATCAACTCAATTGAGAATTCAATGTAACACTTGAGATTTAATATAAACGGATTAATAGTACTACTCATACCAACAGAGGTGCATCTCCTTTTAAGGGAGCTCATCACCCAAGAACTCCAAAGTTAAGCGTGCTTGCACGGGAGTAGTCTTGGGATGGGTGACCCCCCTGGGAAGTTTCTCAGGGCGCGCACGAGTGAGGACAAAGTGCGCGGTAAAGGCTCGTGGTGGTTTGTGGGGACAGTACTATTGGTCCGAAGTAACTACCTCGGGTCCGGTGGGGCCGGGGTGTTACATTCAACTTCTCTCTCGGGTGGCATCCCTGGAATCTCTTCCGGAAATACATCCGGAAATTCATTGACTACGGCAATTTGGTCAATGTTTGGCTCCCCTGTATTCACCTCTTTCATAAAGCACAGGTATGTTTCATACCCCTTTCGGATATGTCGCCTTAATTGTTGCATAGTCATCAGCCTCATACTAGGCTTGGATGTGATTGCTTTGTAAGATATTCGCTTCCCATTTGGACCCTTCAAGATCACCTTCTGTTCATCACAGAGGATCCTGGCTTTGTATTTCCCCAACCAATCCATGCCCAGTACTATGTCAATATCTTTTAAGTCAAATTGGATTAAATCTCCAGGTAGGTTGGATTCAGATATGAGTATGGGAATGTTGGAGTATACATTTCCACAAGTTACAAATTTATCTGAAGCGGTTCTTACATTCAAGTCTATTCTAGCCGTTGGTTCAATCTTCAATTTCTTAACGAAACTAGAAGATATGAAACTGTGAGAAGCACCAGAATCAAATAGAACATAAGCAGGCTCAGAATTTACAAGGAATGTACCTGAAACCACATCATTAGCACTGGCTTGGAGGGTTGCGAGATGCCACTCGTTTTGCGGCATCATTCCCGTTGTTCTGGTTTTGGTTGTTCTGGAGCACAGTAGCACCCAATGTGTGCATAAATTATGCCAGTTGTTGAACGCTTTGTGCCAACTCAGCATTGGTGGGCGTGTTATCAGGGTCTCTTCTCGGTGCCATGATATCTTAATGACACAAAGTATTCGTGTAAGAATTTCTATATGTTACTCCTGAGGATCCTAGTTCAACTAAGGATTCCATAGGCTATGCAACATGATCATATAAAAATGTACATAACAATCATACAGAGGATTCATACTTCACATAAGAGCACTTTCGCACA